AAACCTTTTAAAATTAGCAGATTTTGGTTTGGCAAGAGCTTTCGGGATCCCAGTCACAACCTTTTCAAATGAAGTTGTAACGCTATGGTATCGTTCACCAGATGTGTTATTGGGTTCGCGCACCTATTCCACTTCAATTGATATATGGTCAGCTGGTTGCATCATGGCAGAAATGTATACCGGCAGACCTTTATTCCCAGGAACAACAAACGACGATCAATTGGTAAAGATTTTTAAGACAATGGGCACACCACCAGAATCCATTTGGAAAGGGTTAGTAACTTATCCTGAACATTTGAAACGGTATCCTACTTATCCACAACAAGATTTGAAACAAATGATCCCGATAATTGATAATATTGGTTTAGATTTGTTAAGCAAAATGTTGGTTTATGATCCTGATCAAAGAATCACAGCAAAAAGTGCATTAAGTCATGTTTATTTTAGTGATATTATTCTCAATCAAAATTTACAGCAACAACAACAACAACAGCAACAGCAACAACAACAACAACAACAAACATCCCAGCCTTCTTCTCATCCATCTCTGCATAATAATAATCATAATCAATTTGTCAATGTCAATATGAACAATATGAACAATCTACATAACCTAAACAATCTTAATAATCTAAACAATATTAACAATCTAAATAATATCAACAATCTAAACAATATTAACAACCTAAACACAGTCAATCATCTGATACCTCATCATCACCATCACCACCATCACCACCATCAAGCAATCCCTAACAATAATAATATGAGATTCACAAATCCAAATAGTGTTGGTGGTGGTATGCCTTTACAACTAAATACGATGCCACAACAACACACACATGGTGTAAATATGCAGTCAATCAATCTACAAAATCTACAATTACTATCATCAGCAGCAGGTGTTAACATGTCAACAGCAATGCCTCTACAACAAAATGTTATTCAACCAATCATGACTGTACCTCCACCTCAAATCATTCCAGCTCCACCAATGGCTCCAGTACAACAATTGTTAAATCTTCCATCTAATAGTGCATCAATTCCTCCACCTTTGAGACATCAGACAAGAAGGCAAACATATGATTCGTATGGTATTGATTAATCAATCAACCATATTATACATACTTGCACACACACACACACACATATATAATAACGAACTATTAAAAATATTATTATTTGCAAAAAAAATAATGACAACAAGGCAAACTTTATCAAATAATGACCATCCTCCCATTACACCATTAAAAAAAATGTTTGCTGCTTGTAGTGGAGCTTTATTAACTTCACTTTTTAGTAAGTGAAAAAAAAAAAATTATGTAACAAACATAATGAATATGTTAATTTAACAATGAAATTATTATTATAGCAACACCATTTGACGTAGTAAAGGTTAGATTACAAGCACAAAGCATTTCCAATAATAGTCATAATAATGTAAAAACTTCATCATTTTCATCAAACATCAAATCATCACCATCACCACCATCATCACACTCTTTAATATCATGTTGTCACCATCATCATCATCACCATAATAATAATAATAATAATAATCAAGTATTTTTTTCAAAAAGAAACATAAATCAAGAAATTTTTTGTCGATTAGATCCAAATCTATCTCCTAATCAAGCATCATCATCATTATGTTGTACCGCTTCAAATACATCAATTACTCTCCCATCATCATCTACTCAGAAAGTAATAGTAACAAGAAATCATCATCATCAATTTAATGGAATACTGGTAAGCAAACATTCATTCAATGACTGGCTTTATTATTATTAATTAATTAACATGATTTAATTTTTTTGGAATTAGGATGGTATAATTAAAATGGTCCGTTATGAAGGAGTCACATCTTTATGGCGAGGTCTTTCACCATCATTGTTAGTTGGT